AGCATATCTTAAGCAAAATATATGCTTAGCTGCCAAACATTTTTTGCAGTAAAAAATGTCATAAATCAATACAAACCCTTACGAAACACAGCGTTTAAATGATCTCCAACGACAAAAATAGATGATTCAATTAATAAAAATAATAAATGATTGAAATGTGATCAGTGTCTGATCATTTGAATTAAAAATTGTTTTTATGTGTATTTAGTGAATTATATTGTTGACAGTTTTATAATCACGCCTTTATGTCCATAGTCTCCGATGAGCCGTTGAGGTACTTTCACATCTGCAACTCTGATTTCATTTAAAATTATAGATTTTCATTCAAACAAAACCTGATTACTTACTAAAATAAACAGTCAGATTAAGATTTTGTTTTTTGATGACTTTCAAATTTATTGATCAAAGAATGAAACGAAGAAGCATTTACAGAGCTATAGAACCTAAAAAAAAGAGAGTGCCATATAGAATAGTTACATAAAAAAAACCAGAACCCTATAACTTGGTTGATTTCAGACCATCCTCCCACTGATAGTACTAGGATGGGCTGACTTCAAACCATCTTCTAAGTAGCCCTTCCAACTTGTGTGTCCATGTATACCGGAGGGAAGGTATTCGATTTCTTATGCATTTCTCAATGGAGCGACTGATGACTGCATCCGGATTCCGATTCCCCTCATGACATCTTAAGTTTCTCTCCCTCCACAGCAGATTAAGATATTTGTATAAACAAAACCTGCTGAGCCTAAGAATAGAAATAATACTAATCATGCATTTGAACTATTGCAAACTCCTCACATTTGCATCAACAAATCACTGATATCAATATGATATTTTATAAATAGTTCATCGTCGATCTGGCTTTGACGTAGGTTTTATTGTTTTTGGGTAATCAACAATCGACATATTCCATTTTTCAGAAAAATAAAACATGAAAATTTGATGCCTAACTTATTTGAGCGTTGAACTGACTTATTATGTTTGACTAACAAGTGGATCTGTCAGTCGTTGACGGTAGGCATGATAATCCCTAAATATTACTCTCTTTTTTTCCTTTTGGCAACACCCATTTTGTAAAATCGAATGGTAGTTCTGGTTGAGTTGTTCCGATGAGATGTTCATTAAGACCGGATATGATTTATATGAAAAAAAACACCACTACACTTCTTTTCCAATAGAGTCTGCACATCTATTTTGGATTTGGGGATATAAGAGATACTAAAACCCGAACCCCGTCTTGTAGAAGGAAGAATGAAACTAGCTCAGAAACAAGCGCCGGTCAATCAACTAGACTAGCAATCATGTCCACTATTTATGAGCAATTTATCCTTACATGTATCGTATTATATGTAAATCTTGTAAACAAGACATTGTCCATAGAAGTCCTTCCATCTCAGCATAGAGAGTCAAGAGATTATTACGACAACCTTTTAATCTAACATGTTCAACCTCCATTTGATCCCGATGGGTCCACCCTAGTCGACTGGCCCATGAGGCATCAATTCAGCATGTCGGGCTTTGAGGTCCCATGTGGGAGTCAAATCAGAGGCAAAAACCAGGGATCGGATTTTCTTCAGCTTTCCGTTTTAAGCGAGGCTAGTTGGAGGATGTTGAAAGGAGAGACATCATTTCCATTAAACACTTTTCTCGTTCTTTACTTTCTAAATGTACCACAAGATCCAAGGAAATGTATCAATAAATAGTATTGAATTAGGCCGTATATTTCTTACTCCAAAAGAAAAAGTTCATATTTTAATAAACATAATTATTCAAGAAGAACCTTGGAAGGAATATATAGTCCAATAAAGTCCAAATCTGCAAGACAAAGAAACATTAAAGAAAATATGATTATAGTTTTCTCTAGGTTACCACATTTAGGACATATTCTATCAATAGATTGTTAGAGTATTATTTTAATGTTTGTAGTGCTAATTTTAACTGCTAATTTTCTTTTCGCATCAAAACAGTCGTGTTGAAATTCAAATTTACCATTAGTGCACCAAGACTCTAGTTTTGCTATGGCCTTAACAACAAAATTCAACAGTTCTGTTCAAATTTAACTAAACAACTCTGTATATATATATATATTAGGATTTTGTCCGTCCTACAGGCGGGTTAGCATATGAAAAATATTTTTTAATGGATATATTAAATATTAATATATCATCAATTTAATGGATATTTTAAAATATTTAGTTTACTTTAATTTAAAATTAATTTTGATTTTCACTATGTATATTTTATTATTTTTTTTATAAATTATGTTTATCTTAATATTGAAAGGAACGAACAGATTACAATTTCGTTATTATACGTTTTTTTCTTTCATTCAATGAAATTATTTTTTAATGAACGAATAGTATATATACAACTATTTTGGTTTAAATACTTCAAACTTAAATTATAATATATTTTACAATTATATATGTAATTAAAATACTAAAAATTAAAATTAAGGTTGTTAAATGTTTTTCTTGTATACTTTTTGAAATTTCTTATTATGATGACTTAATTAAATAGATCAGAGAACTTAAAAGGAAGAGAAATAGACCATTTAGTTACAAATTAATGATTAATTCCTAAAAGCTAAGAAAGACAATAAAATGATTATTTAGGAGATGATACATGACATCATTTGCGCCTGGCTGTCTCTATGAAAAGAGTCTTATAATTTATAAATATATATATATATACATATATTAAAACAGAAATACAAAATAATACATTTCTAAATTTAAGTGTTTTCTTACAACTTTCACTTTATTTTCCAATATATTCTAAAAAATTCATTTATTATCTTATCCAAATAATTAAACAACATTAATTACAAAACTAAAAACAAGAATTACCTATTTGAAAGTGTTTCACTCTTCCTACTATTTCATTAATTATCTTTACCATAATAATTCGACAACAATTATTTTTAATGTTAACTATAGCAATTCGAAAGATTTAAATGGAATTTCTCTACTTGTAATAAGATTTCAAAATGGTTAACAAAGAAAAATTTATTTGTTTACTGAATTAGTTATGCATGAGCATTCGGGTATCGTTCAGGTACGTGTTGTTTCGTTTGGGATCATTTTTTGTTTTGAAATTAGGTCGGCTCAAGTACTACAAATTTTTGGGTATGTTTCGAGCTGAGTCCTTCCAAGTTCGTATAGATTAGTTCTAATGTATAGAAATCTAAAAAGTATCTAAATAACCAATTGGTTCAGATAATTATACCAAAAGTAATTATATTACTCGCTTCGGTCAGAGTCTTTTGAAAAAAAAATAATTATATAGTAACACATTTAATATATATAATATTAATCATGAAAAATAATACAATATCAATCTATAAAAACATAAAACCAATATATGCGCGGACACACAGATCAAACACTAGTATATACTCATATACTTATAAGCTTAACTGAAAAAATGCTAATTGTTGTTTAGAAACAAAAACTATTCGATAGTTTCGTTTTAAGTTAATGTGGAAGACGCACACGACGGAATTGAAACAAGACCAACAGTTGTACTTGTACCCAACCAGATGCGTTTTAGTATTTTTCTTTTTCTTTTTGGTAGGTTCCTCTATGGAGATAGAAACATTAGATTTTGACCCAAAAAAAAAAAAAAAAAGAAACATTAGACATTGATGTTTGAAATGATCATAAACTATTAAGAAGAGATATTACTTGCAATCTTACAAATATCTAAGAAACAGCGAATTATAGGACCATCTGTCTCATGGTGACTCACAAGTCACAAGGACCATAAACGCACTCTTAATTATTTTTTCTATCTCTATAATTGTTTGCCATAATTCCTTATGTGGAATCCAACGAATCTTATACGACAACAACAAAGATTAGTATATATAAGATCACATGTATAGATCTCCTCGACACTTGTAGAAATCTTAATAGTTCAATTATTATGTGTATCAACTTAAAATAATCAAGCATCATCAAAGTTTTTATAATTGTGCTTTGAGGAACTTAAATAATAACAATACTTAAAATTTATGCCTCTGCATCAACTTGTAGCTCATCTATATACGTGGTAACAAGATATAATTTTCAAATAACTTTAGCATATAAAGATTATAATTGGATTGGATGCTCAGTTACACCATGTTACCCAACGCCATAGCATTATATCCTAGTTCAGCATATATTTTAAAAATGAATCGTGTGATTAATTAATATCCCGTAATATCCTTCTTCAGTCTTCTTCACGAAAATGATGAAGTTTGGCCTTTGGGTGACTAAGCAACATTCATACAACTAACTTGGCCCAAGTTACTTGTTATCAATCGATTTATGATTTAGTCTTGTCACTAGTCTCTATCTCTTCAGTTTTGCTTTCGTTCGCTTTAAAGTTTTTGAATCAGAGACTTTTCTATCCCTAAGGAAACGTATGCCAACAAGAAGGGGAGATTTAGTAGTTTCCGGATGATGCCTTTGGGAGATAACGATTCGAATGGACAGACGAAAGGATATACATAAGACTTACGAAAAGGACCTGTCAAAAGAGGTAAAGAGAGCATCCTAATTCTGCTTGCTCAGTTCTAATTCTTCTTTCTGTACCTTTCTTTATACTAATATATTGTTCTTTGTTTTCCTTTTATGTCTACAATTCTAATTCTTTTCTTTTTAGATAACATTCGCTGGTTGATCAAAAAAAAAAAAAGATAACATTCGCTGAATAGATTAATTATTCTTATCACTAATTAAGAGCTCCTACAACTATTTTTGTAATTTGAAATTGAAAAGGTATATATATTGTATAAAATTTTATCTTTGGCTAGTGATAACCTTATTATTTTGATTCTATAAAGAATATATATAACTCTAAAAATGTAAAAAGATCTTTGTCTTGTCACTAATATCTATCTCTATGGAAAACAAACAAAAAGGTGGCGGAGCCAAGAAGTTAGAGTGAGTGCTTGCATATATAAATACTGAAAGGGGCAGAGAGAAAACATAACACAGCATAACACAAAGGCAAAACAGAGAAACACTTAGGTTTCATAAGATAGACAAAAGAGATTGGTGGGTCTGAGGAGATAAGACACTACTTCTCCTTTTAAGCTTTCACTTAAAGAAAAACATAAGAAGAAATTATGAGTTTGTGGGGAGTGATGGGAAGAGGGTGTGGACTGGTAGAAGAAGGTTGGAGAAAAGGGCCTTGGACTGCTGAAGAAGACCGCCTTTTGATCAATTATGTGCAGCTTCACGGTGAAGGCCGATGGAACTCTGTGGCAAGACTCACAGGACTGAAGAGAAATGGCAAAAGCTGTAGGTTAAGATGGGTTAATTACTTAAGACCAGACCTCAGGAGAGGACAGATCACTCCTCATGAAGAAACCATTATCCTTGAGTTACATGCTAAATGGGGCAACAGGTAATTTAATTTAAGCTTTGAATTTATATTCATCTTGTAACAAAATGTGTTTCCTCAAATAAATTAGCATTTAATATAATTCTCCTTTTTCAAAAGTTTTTTTCATCGTGATTGAAGTTTAAAAATTTGTAGCCTCACTTGAATAAGTATTTGGAATCTTCTTTTTTCTTTTCTATGATTTCTTGTCTGATGATTTTTGTAACTTCAGGTGGTCAACAATCGCTCGTAGTTTACCGGGAAGAACAGATAACGAGATCAAGAACTATTGGAGAACCCATTTCAAGAAGAAGACAAAATCTCCAACTAACAATGCGGAGAAAACGAAAAGCAGAATCTTGAAGAGGCAACAATTTCAGCAGCAAAGACAGATGGAGTTCCAGCAAGAACAACAATTGCTTCAAGTCAACCAAATCGACATGAAAAAGATCATGTTTTTACTAAACGATGACAATAGTTTCAGTAGCAGTAGTCACAGTAGTGGCGAAGGCGGTGCTTTCTATGTTTCTCATCAGATCACACATTCAACACCAAATTCTGGTCATGACCCAAACGGTAATGGGTTTTACCCGGTGGTTCCGGTGCCTACACCTGAGGCTAACGTGAATGAAGATTACGCAATTTGGGATGGTATATGGAATCTGGATTTGGAAGGACAAGGAAGCTTTGGTGACGGTGCTTGTGTCCCAAGGAAGCACTGTTCTCAGAACTTGCATATTCCCTTTAACTTGACCTTTTAAGTGTCTTATATGCTGGAAAATGACATGGCTTGACAAGTTAGGTCGAGTTTGAGTTTGGTTTTGTTTTATCTTTCCTGATTTTGGACTTTAACATAAGTAGTTTTGTTATCCATTGTGTGTGATGTTATAAGAAGCTCAGTTGGGCAACGCCAAGTTAACGAGTAACGCTTCTGCTCCACTCCAATTGATACCGTTGTTAACTATGACATTTAATCATAGACAAGGTACTTGATATTCCATTCATTTATGATTCCACGACCAACAGAAGAGATGCTCTCCTTCTCATTGAGTCATTGCTGTAGGATTCGACACATTCGTCTGATAAACAACACAAAACAGAGATCACTACTCTGCCTTTTTTCCAAAATCACTATTCTATTTTAAGTTTGTGTAATCCCATGTCCAACTCTCTATTGTTCGGTTAGTACGCTATGTTTGTGAAATCTCATGTCCAACTTTAGTATGATATTGTCCGTTTTGGGTGTAAGAGGCAAGTTCACATGAATTTACTTTTGGTTTCCTTTTCAAAAGGTCTTATACTAATTAAAGTTAGACATTTCTTCATATTTTAGACACTTCTTGTCTAAACTTCCAATGTGTAACTTTGTTTTATCTCACGTTCTCTCCCTCAAATGAAGGACCACATTCATCTTGTATGTTTTTTTTTCCTTGAGAATGTTTGTTCCATAACATCATGGGTTCCTTGATCTTTGACTAGTTTCTGTTACAGACCTCCAGTTCCGACTTGAAGAGTCCCATTCCTCTTCAAATAATGGTATTTTGGTCTATTTATAGATCTTCGTCATAACGCTCTAATACTAATTCAGATCACTAAAAACACAAAAAAAATTGAGAACAGTTTTTCTTATTCCTTTAGAAACTCCTCAAAACTAAAGCTCTCAATGTGGTTTTTTAGATCTTATGATCTTCTCTCTTTGTTCCTATAGAACAACTCTCCGTGAGACCTATATTTATATTGAAAGATAATTCTCTTTAACATTTGAGATATAAAAACACAAACCTAACTTAAATAGAAAACATCATTTTTCTATTATAAATTTATTTTTTGTTTATTTTAACATATTAAACACTTATTAATATGTTAAGTTTTTACAAGTTTGGAATGATCTAACATTCACTCCTTTAATTCCAACTTGATTTAGAGAGATCAATCTCTTGAACTCCAATTAAGCTCCTCATTTACTTGAACTTAATTCTTGCTAGTAGCTTGGTAAGGATGTCGGCCTTCTACTCAACACCCATCACATTTATCTCTTGTTCGTCTTCATCCTTTTGAGATCTTTGAACTCGAAGAGTCGTGTTACACATTTCCATCTTTGTGTCACACATGATTCCTTGAGCATACCTCTCTTGCTTTATTATGATTATGTGTTCTTCCTGACTCACTTCTATGCCAAGGTAATACATTAGCTTACCTAGATCTGACATCTCAAACTTCTTAGAAATCTCTTCTTTGAATTGCTTAATCACCTTAAGCAAAGTTCATGTCACAAATAGATCATGTCACAAAGTTCATGTAAATGGCTATTAACAAGAAGTCTCATCCTTCATTCTTGCGGTACACTGATGGCTTCTTCGTGCAATTCTTAAATCTCATATCCTTCATAACCTTATCGAGTTTCACATTCCAAGCACTTGGTGCTTGGCGTAACCCATACATAGCTTTGTGTAACAAATAAAATCGATCCTCTTCTCTTTTCTTTGCAAAACCTCACTATCTCCTTTAGATCTCCATTCAAGAAAGCATTCTTCACGTTTAGATGATGAATCTCCCATCCGTTTGTTGCTTCAAGGGCTATTAAGAGCCGTATAGTTTCAAGATGTGCCACTGGTGCAAACATTTCATCGAAATTTATTACTTTTCTTTGTACCACAAGTCTCACCTTATACTTGTCACTGTGCCATCCGCGTTTCTCTTTATCTTGTATATACACTTTAACCCTATAGGTTTAACTCCAGCCGGTCTGTGTACAAGCTCCCACGTCTTGTTTCTTGTAATAAAATATAACTCGACTACCATAACGTCAACCCATTCTCTTATGTGTTATGCTTATCGATAGTTACGTTCTCTGGCTCGCTATCTACTGTGAGCAACAAAATTGCACTTTCTTGGTCTGCAAGTAACACATAATCATCGAGATACCTTGACTTTGTTATGGTGCGGCCATGTATAGTTACCAACAGCTGAACATCACCGTCGTGGTTCTCATCGTGACCAATTTTTTCCTCATCTTTTTCCTCATCTTGGTTTATAGCTTCATGTTTATGATCATCACCTTGATCATTACTTTCTTTTATATCACCCTCATGTGGAAGCTTAAGAATACTTGGTTCACAATCCGCTTGGGTTGCTGTAGATGATCAAATCCCAAGCTTTCTTCTCGTCGAAGATCACATCTCTATTCACCATTACCTTTCGTGCGACCGGATCATAGAGTCTATAGGCTTTGGAACCCGTCTCAGTTCTAAGATTGATCAAACTCTTTGATCTCTTATCCAACTTCTTAAGGTAAGGCCTAATGATTTTCGCATGAGTTACACAACCGAATATCCTTAGATGCTCTATATTTGGTTTCCTCGATGTGAAACACTCGTATGGTGTTTGATCCTTCAAGGCTATTATAGGAATTTATGTTGATGAGGTAAGTTGAATGTCGTACAACTTCTCCCCATAAGTAGTTGGGCATCTTTATTTCCTTCAGCCTACTTCTTGTCATTTCCATTAAGGTTTGGTCTCTTCTCTCCACCACACCATTTTGCTGAGGCGTGTAAGATGCGGTTAGATGCGTTTTCACTCTATTTTCTTCACAGAATTGATTGGACTCAGCTGAGATAAACTCTCCTCTTCTATTGGTGCAAAAGTTTTTAATGATTGACCTGGTTTGTTTCAATAGAATACCTCACTCTTCTCCTTCAATATTGTAATTCATGACCGAAATGGCATGAATGACCGTGAACGAAAGTGTGCAAAAATATCAAGACCCAAAGGATGTGAATGAGTTGTGACCGAAAGATTGTCAACGGATCATGACCGAAGGGTGCAAATTGATCATGGCTAAAAGGGTGAGAATGGATCATGAACGAAAGGATGTGAATGAGTTGCGATCGAAAGGATATAAATGAATCGTGACTGAGAAGGTGCGAACAAGTCATGACCAAATAAGTGCAAACGGGTCATGACCAAAGATTGTAAATGACCGAAGAGGTAAGAGTGGATCTTGACTGAAAGGGTGCGAACAAGACATCACTGAGAGGGTGCTAAAGGTCAACGATGGTGTTGGTGATCCAAGAGCATGACTTTTTTATCCACATAAAATGTCTCTTTAGATCAGAAATATATATATCCTTCCTCTATAATTCTTTCATTTTGTCAGATTTTACCCATCCATAATTTTGTTTTGTCGTCTGCATTCCCATTTCAAAACTAATCATCCGCTCGTTTCCTTTGACATAATTTAAAAGGTAAATGTTTACTATGTCGCCGAATGAATGTTTATAATTCCTATAATCATTTCATTTAAGAAAAACTAATAGTAAAGAGTTTAATGTTAAATTCTTTTGAATCTTTGAATACCATTAGCTGTATGTTAATCCCAAAATCAGATTGGTTATCTATGTTAGATAGAGATTCACTTTATCTAATTACATATATTGTACATAAGTTTCTTTTAACTGGCTTTTGATTTCTGATGTAAAGAGACTTTTTATGTTCACAAAAAAGACACATTTATATTTTTGTTAACCTGCACAGTTTTTCTATCATGAATGGTTCAATGAAGGAGCACAATGGTTAATTTTCTTAAAAGATACAATTCTTTAGTGAATGAACATGTCTTCTGTTTAGGTAATCAAATATTTAAAAGGTTTTTATTGTGAAAGTGTTCAATGGTTACGCTTCTTAAAATATACAATTTTTCAGTTATGAAAGGGTTCAATAGTTAAGTTTCACTATCTCAGAAAAGATGTAATTCGTTAAGGAATAAATGTGTATCTTGTTTAAGTGAAACAGTGATGTTATACTTGGGTCCTTAAATAAAATTTTAACATTAGATTATAGATTATAAGCAAATTCAAACGTAGGATGCTATATTTTTTTCCAATATTAAACTGATGATCTCAGCAGTTAAAGAAAAAAATGTTTGCTATATTATATATAGATAGATTTTGACAACATTTTTAAGGCAGTGCCACTTTAAATATGGGAAGACACATGGTTATGATAAAAAGTAACAACCTTTAAGACATATTTAGAGAAAATATAAATTTTAAAAAAATTTGTTGATAAATGTATTTTTTTTAAGGTGAGAAGACACATTCTTACATTTTAACAACTTCGTCTAAATCAATATAATTCTTAAAATGAAAAGACATATAGTTAAAATGAAAGGATATATACATAAACACATACACACACACACACACACACATATATATATATATATATATATATATTTATTGAGAATATTTTTTAAACAATGTCATTTTAATAAATGTAATTACGATGAAAAGACACATTCTTCGAGATTTTCAATTTTTTTTTTAAACCAATGTAACTCTTAGATGAAAAGACACATTATTAAGATGAATAAATATACATTTTGAAAAATTCTTGTACAATAATATAACTCTTAAAATAAAAAGTCACATTTTTAAGATGAAATAATACAAGTTTTGACTTTATTTATGATTCTTATTAATAGATAATGTGATTAGATTTATGGGTAATGATATTTTTATATAAAAATATTTAAAATTAAATGTTTAATTAGTTTGTATGTACAAATTTAAAATGATATTTAAAATTAAATGGAAAGAATATATCTTTGTAGTTTTTTTTTTGTTATATGTGAAGGATTGCAATCTTTGTTGACTTTTTTTTTTTGGTGAAAAATGTTTCTTATTCCGGAAAAACATATTTTGCTTATAGGCTTGTGTAGAACTAAGTTCTTAATATATTCCAACAGTTTACAAAATTCATTTTGGAACCAGTGTAGAATAAT